CCGTTCAGACATTAATAGTTGAGCCAGGTTTCGCGCAGACAAATGATGTGGAAGTGTTCGTATAGGATCGCATTCGGTAGTTTGATGTAAACCAATCTTTGTGCGTTGAGTTGCAGAATATTAAGGAAACCTAGTCAAATTTTTTCTGCTAAGTGTTGAGTTTGCTTCAATTTCTACTTTCACTCCATCTTTGAACAGGTCAAGGTTTCGAATTTTTAGCTTCTCCCTGGGTACACCTTTATCCAGCAAAGATCGCATTTTCTTCAAATTTTTATTTTTCTTTCGCTGCTTCTTTTCTCGACATAGCCGGGAGTAGATATTTGCCCCTTTTTTATCAAGCATTTTCGTTTCTCCTTAGCCTTTGCCATGATTAGGCGCGCCTCATGCTTACTTGCAACTGCAAGAAGGTCTCGTGGCTTCTGTCGGTTTTAGTCGAAATTTCTGTCCCTTTAGTTCAACTATATTTGGTTTCTCATCGGTTTCATTCAGTATCGCGCTTACTTTTTCGTTTGTGGGGAGTAATTTTTTTTGCTGTATATTTCTTTCGGTCTTCGGGGACCCCTTGAAAGTCAAAAACATTGTCTGATTTTGTGATCAGTATTTGTTCTTGCATTTTGATTTTGTGATTTTGCTTCCAAAACAGTTGAATATGTTTTTTCAATGAATATGATTTTTATGATTTATGTTTTTACAATAATCGCTTTTGCCTTTTTACGGTTTTTTCGATCGAAAGAAATTTTCTCCGAACCAAAAATTTAATAAATAGGTTTTTTTCGGGCTGACTAGTTTGTCTCATTTCCATCGGCAATACTTACTGCCAACTGTTTAAGATACGTTTTTAGGAATTACAATAGTATTAGAGAATTGATTGGTGGTGTCGCTTTTAACGGTGTTTTTAAACGAAATTTGTCTCAATTGTCATACGAGTGATTTTTTTCAAACTATTGTTTTTTGGGTGGCAAGTATGCGACTCTCCGCTTCACCTCTGTTTACCCTAGTGACCTTATAAGCTTTGTTTGGCAAGAGTTTTGTGATAGTTTTATATGTAAGTGTTCAGTACAATTCCAAGCGAAAGGAAGAGTTTTACAAATTAATTATCCTTTTGTCCAAAAGTTAGGTACAATGTTCGGAATTCTGTTAACGTTTTAACCTAATGGTTTAGGAGTGAAACTAAAGTTTGTCTGAGTCGAAAAGCTTTAAAAATGTGTTTTGTTCAAAATCGATTTTCATTTTTTGCGGACAAAAATGATAAACTAGATTTTTTGAAAATGTATGCCCAATTTAACTTCACTCAAATATAAGTGTTTAAGTCGAAATCAAACGATCAAAACAGTTCTAAACAGCTTACATGTTTTATGTTTAAGCATTCTCTGCTGAAAAATCATACGCCGCTTTTAATTCCCTCAAGGTCGCACTTAATCGATTTTTCATAGTTGAGTTTTTGCGCTCCTTCCTATTTCTAACTTTGATCAGATGTATATCCGGAGCAAAAATTCAATTAGCAAATCTCTACAAATAAGTTCTTCTTAAAACTGAAGTAATTCCTCTGAAACAAAGCAACTCTATAATACGACGAAAACTGAGGTAATACAAAAAGAAGTCAATATTCAACTGGCAAGGCGACAATTGTAACAAGAACAAGCGACAATTCTTAACTAGGAATTGGCAAGTAACATAAGGTTGCTCCACTGTGCATAGTGTTAAGACGAAGAATGATGGTGATCTATGATAATTAAAGAAAAACACTCATGAAATTATAAATCTTTTTCTTCAAATCCAAATAATATTTATTAGCAACGTCATTTATTGACTGTAAGAAATAGATGTACAAAAACTCGCAAGCAATTTCTCAGTTTGATCATATTTAATGTGCATACTATATAAAAACGGGTCTTTTCTGTTACACGGCCCAATTTATAATACTTTTAAATAGGCTTCTGTTTTTATTGAAAACGCTGAGACTTCTTTTTGCTGATATTAATTTCAACCAATCAGATTCCAGCATATCATCAAATTTTTCAAAAAAAAACAATAGGAATAGTTTTTGGCCGTATAACAGATAAGACCCAAAACATCGAGTATCAAGCTTACTTCGGTGTTAGCTGCTTTGTCAGAAGTGTGTTAAAAGATTTTTCCTCTTTTTGAAACTTTTATCGCATGTAAGCTTCCAGACAATGGAAGACGAATTCGACCAGCTCGAATAGAACAAATATACTCCAGCCAAGCCAAAGTCCAATGTTGCCACCGAAATCCGAAATGAGCGAGGAGAAATCGTAGGCCGCAGTCTCGGATATTTTCCTGAAATTCAGAGCTTCGTAAAAGATTTCCAACCTCACGAAATTCTCCTTGAAGCTTTCCTGCATTGCTTTTTCACTGTCGTTTCTTATGAGCAGGTCTTGCATATAATGTACTACGCGATTTGAGTCAGATTTGATCATCTTTGAAGCAAAGTACGGACCGTAACTTTTCGATGGCCAAGGAGATCTAGACTGAGTTTGGAGGTATTCGTTGGTAAGACAAGCAGACGGACAATCGCATGAAAGACTGTGATTTCTGAAAGCAGCGTGAACACCATTTAGACATTGGCTTTCCTTTTGCTCCGTGTTTCGGCAATAATTTATTGAGTTTTGGTTTATTGTTTCATCGGTACTAAAGTTATATTCAAAGCTATCTGTGCATTCGCATTTGGTGGCAAGGACGTTGAGCAAACACATTTTCAAGCAAGATTCTTGAGTGTAAGTTGGCCATTGTTTCTGAAATTCTTCCGAGAGCTTCAGTGATTTTGGCCACTTGTATGTACAGTTGTCGTATTTACCACCTTTTCTTAGAACAACTTCCGTTTTGATAGCAATGAAAGTTGCTTCGCCAGCTGCTACTGAAACACTCTCAGCTTGTATGTCCGGTTGAACTCTAGGGTCGTGTAGTAAAATCCGAGCTCCAATATTCGGCGCAAATAGTCCAATGTACTCCGCATAATCCAGGAATAAGGTCAGTTTGAGCCCGAATTCATGGCCTGTTTTGCTGCTGCTCCGTAGTTTATAAGTCGAGTTGCCGTCTTTTTGATTCCTGAAAAAAGGGTTTAGCCACAATTTTGCATTTTAAGACCGTACTTTCCTAATAGAAATCTGATTTTAACCCACTTGCTACCTATGAAACGACAAAACTTTTAGTAGCGGCCGTGGCCGAACGGGTAAGATGCGCAAGCTTAACACGAAGGTTGCGAGTTCGAATCCCACTTCAATCACGGTCGGAGGGGTGCCAGTGTCATCCGCCTTCTCAAAATGGACGAAATCTCTTCTTCCCTACTTTTGGTGACACTTTTGTCAATATGAAACTTTCACTTTTAAGGAACTTGGAAACTGGTGGCAGCATTGGCAGTATAATATCATGGGCTTTGACTTTTAATTAGTAATAAGTTAACACCTTTGAGGCTTTTTTAATTCATCGAATGAGCCGAAAAAAATCGTTTCGTATAGCACCATAATAATTAAAGTTCAAATTCACATTTCCAATCCAATGTATTTCTCGAGATTTTTTGAAATGCATAATTACACAAGCCAGCTAGCGATCGTAGCGTATTAGTATGAAGCTACGTTTTCTGGCCTATTTTGGTGGCTTTTTTTGCCATAATCACGATCTGTAGCATTGGAAATTTCATAGTTCTATGCTCTATTTGTGGCTAGTGTTTTCTTATCTTTATCCGGGTCTGAAAGAGAGGTAAAGACGAGACACTACAATTTTTGAGATCGCAGGTTCGAATCCGACTCATAGCCAAAGTTATAATAATTCGAAGCTTATTTCTACCTTATCTAATTTCAATTTATAGAGCTGCTTTTTTGTCATCTTCTCACTATAATTCTTCTGTATTTATACATAATATAGTTTTAAAAATAATAGTTTTAATATAGTTCCCAATTACTTAAATGCTAAGTTAGTTTGGTTACCTTGAGCATTCCAATTTTTTTTACATGGAATTAAAGTCTTTTTGACATTTGAAGCGTCCTTTGCCGCTCGTCTATGGTGTTTTAAGAGTCATTGGCTCAACTGTGTTGGGCAGCAAACTGGAAAACTTGCCTGTCCGAGAATTGTGGATTAATTTTCGCAGAGGTAACTGATTTTTCAAATTCCTTTTTTTCTTTTTTTTTAACTTAATTAGCTATAAGGCGTTTGTTCGCTTGTGTTAGTGAGTTAATCATATTTTATAACCGATTTTCTGATATTTTATAACCGTGATTGATCTAAATTTTCTGTGCTGTTTGCGCAGTATTCAGCTATTCAGTGGGTTCAATTAAAACTTCAATGTAGTTTTTTAAATTTGAACGAAAAGCCGGCACGGTGTAAAAAACACGATAAAAACGACAACATTGAAACTTTTCAACCGTTTTATTTGGTAGCAGCGATGATTAAAATCAGATTGCTTATTTGAAACGGAGTGTTAATTGTATCAGGATTTTCAATATCTAAAATATGATTAAGTTTTAAGTAAGTAACGAGTTTTTTGAAAAATACCTGATTGAGTTGAAACTAAAACAATTTCCGTAAAGTGGGTCTTCGTATTGGACGAAATCCTTGCCTTCCTTCCTGCATTCCTTCCCGTCGTAAGTGCACTGAACTATAAAGTCCTTTTTCTGGGCGCAGAGCAATTCAAACTCAAGCTCTATAATTCAATTTAAAAATGCCAAAATGTCCAACCTGAATTCCATCCAAGAGTGGACAGAACTTTGAATTATGATTTTTTACTCCACAATTTTGCTAACCCTCTGAAACATCAAGAAAACGGTTCAGAATTTTTAGAAAAAAATTTAAAAAGTTTTCTTTACACGTTTTGAAAAGTTTTCCTTAACATTTTGTAAGTCTTTGACAAAATTGAAAATTGCTTTAAAAAAATAAAATAATCTTAAGAAACCGAATCATGCTTAGTCGGAAATTATTCTAATATTTCAGCAATCAAATTGAAACCGAAACATGTTTAGTCGAAAATTATTCTAATATTTTAGCAATCAAATTTTGCTGATAAACTGCTGAGCTTGAAGTTTGAGTAGTCCCTGATGGCCGTTTGGGCGGACCACTCGCTGGTGAAAGAAAGCCGCTCTTCTGAAATCCGAATAATCAGGCAAGGTAGATGCTTTGTATAAGTTGAAATAATCCGTGTACGTGTACTTGTAATAGTGATCAGTTTCGAAACTGTAATCGTAACCACTGTAATCGTAATCATTGGTATAATCACTGTCGTAATCATTCTCAGTGGAGTCTTTGCTATCTTCAGTACCGTCAGAAACCCTATTCAAGTTGTCACTTCGTTTTTGACGTTTTTTTGAATTCTTAGCTCGTTTTTGATTTTTGAATGTTTTGGAATTCCCGTCTTTAAGTATTCGTTTTTTATCGGTCAATTCAATCTGATTATTTGTGTCGGAATCTTCATCGGCCTTTTGAATGAATTTCTTGTCTTTGTTCTGATTATCAACATGCCTTTTTGTTTTCCTTGGAACACTTTGGTAACTTAGCACAAAACCTTTTGTGGTCGAAGTTGTGTCGGATGTGAACCTAACAGTCAATTTAGACCCGGTTGAAAAGTAAGACGCGGGGTCTGGTAATTCTCGGCCACAAACTTCCCGATTGTTTTTTACTTTGATAGTATCAGATTGTGTTGAATTTCCGTCAAAAAATTCAAGGTAATCGTAGCATTTTCTGTTAAAAGTTCCCTCTAGATCCAGATTCTCGAAGTTTATTTCGATAACTTTATCAGGGTCTTCAGATTTGATCAACCAAACACAATTCAGCGAATTAAGGTATTCCGATGGGTAATTCGGGGAAGTAAATTTCTGAGGCTGGTCAGTCGCCGTAAGGTTTTCACCACATAATTTGATGTCACAGCCTGCCTCCTCTCTTTCGTCAAAATCTGGAAAAAATTAAAGTTTAAATTTTGCTTGCCTAAATTTTTTGGGTCCATTTTTTAGATATATATGCAAGGCTCATACTCAGTTTTTAAGGTGAAAAATTTGGCTGTGAATAATTAATTCATTGTGGTTTCTGCGATTCGCTGAGAATCTATGAAAGGTTATTCAGCCTTAGTCCGTTGTTCTTATTTTCCCACATTCCAAACGGAGGTCTTTTGTTGAGCACCGCTCTATTCTAGCTACTCAAGGTCGTTTTTTTTGCGTTCAGATTAATCACGTGGTACCAGTAGTACAGCCGAAATTGGTCAGGCTGTGTGGTAGACCTGAAGCTAGAGGTCAAGTGAGAGCTCGTTATCACACACTATCATTGCCATGGCATTGCAAGGAATCATGTTCACGAGTTGATAATCTTAACATGTACGCCTTAGCAGCCTAAATTTCAACTCTCTACAAGTTTTATCGAACTACTTCGCAATTTAATCCCTTAATTGTAAAGAATTTCTTTAGAAAACAAGACTGCCCGTATCAGGGCGTATCAGCCCTGAATGTTCCGACTACCTTTTAAGGTCTATGGAGCAGTAATAACATTAAAAAATAAAATGTAAAAAAAAATGATTTTTTTTTTAATTTGAGATTTTTTTGTCAAAATCATCCCCCCACACGCAATATAAAGTACAAAACTGCTACAGTATTATAGTTAACGAAGTTTTGACATCTTTTTTGACCAAAAATTTAGAATAATCAACAATAATAGTTTTTATCACCAACATTTTCGGCGGCTGAGTATTCCACTTACGAATCCAGCTTGTTTAGATTTTATACAAAATAGAAGCTGTTATTGAGATTGATATACACGATTTTCAGAACCTTAAAAAACCAAGATGATTCATATGACGACGTTCTTTATAAAAGTTTAAGAGTTTTTGTTCTATCAATCTTACTTATATTTAAATGCGGGTTTTTTGGTTTTACGTTAATTTTTTTTGACATAAATTTTTTGTTTAGTGGTAGAAAGCTTAAGCACTGAATCATATCGCTAATGGGTAAAGCTTTACTTAAGCATCGGCCTTTGCTTTATTGGACTTGTATTAATTCTTTTTGATACCCTTTGTGCAGCGAATTCAGACTCAAACCAAGAAAAGTTTTTGAGTTGGATAATTTTTTAAAAAATCTAAATGATCTTGATAGATAAACGTGACCACTCAAACCTTGGTGCTGTCTTATGATTTTTCAACTGTGCTCGTAATCTTTGCCTTTTTCGAGCTTAGAAAATTTAGTAGAATTTTTAGAATACCTCCAAATACCTTGTTAACTTTTGGGTTATCGTGCCATTGCTTGACTAATATAACTGCTCGTGCCATATGACATTTCTAGACTGAAATTTTAAGACTTCAAAATTTTTTAGTTATCGTGATAATGTTTAGTTTCTAACCATTTCTAGAGTGGGAAAAATATACAAAAAGAGTTATGGAGTAGTTCGGGTTGTCATTTTCATGTTCAGTGTAGCTGCATGTTACTTAAACGCTGAGAAGATGCAAATAAAACTTAAGTTGAAACTCTCATTTGATTATTTTTTGAGATTCTGGCGTTAAAGTAAGAACTTTTTTGTATCTCATGAAAACAAGGCTGCTTACAAGGCTGCTTACGATCATATTCCGAGACAAAGGTATGAAGTCTTCGTAGTTTTTTGGACTTTTTCAAAGTTATTTTTTGTAGTTACATTTTTTTGAAAAAAAGAGAATTCCTTCTTTTTCTTAAACTTTTGTAAGGCAATGTTTTAATTGTATCACAAATTTTGCGAAGCTCCGCTTCGCCTTTGTTCTGTGCCATTGTTCTGTGTCTACTATAAGTATCATTAACCAAGGTCCTTTTCAGCTCTTACCTCCTGTTAGACATTCTGCAATGCCATCACATGCTATCGCACACTGTTCGTATTCAGGGCACATAAAATAGTCCTTGTTACAAATGTTCTCCAGCTCGTCTTCTCCAGGGAGTAGGGACCCGTCTATTAGTAGGGACTTTTTTCAAGCTGTTTACGTCAAATTTATAGATCTTTATCATTCGTTATTTTCAAAGCGCTTCTTCTATATTATCTTAGCGGGCGAGCGTCAAAATTTTTTAAAAATTTTTGAAAATATTGCATCCTAATTGTATCCTGATAATACGACCAAATGTATTGCCTTTGTTCAATTTGGAACGCAATAGTCCGCGGCTAACCCGTGTCTTAAGAATGCAAAATATAGCTCGTTAATTATCCCAAATTGGTCAAATTAACAACTTTGAATTTTTAACCCCACTACTTTACAAGAAATAATCACAGGTGAATAACTTTTTAATTTTGAGCTGAAAAAAAATCCATCAAAAGGCTAGTTGAAAGGTTGAAAATTGACTGAATAAGAAAACCACTAGCATAATTGTTCCGCACTTTCTTGAAAGTCGGAACAAAAAGACTTTGTGACCGTCATACAGTTTTACATTCTGGGCAAAAATTCAAACGTGCTTTTTGATGTCTAGCCATGAAAAAGTTATGTTTTTTTTTTAGATATTTACGCGAATTCGACAGCGTTACTCCCATGTGCAAGAATTATTTGAGGTACTTTTTTAGTGAAACACTTACAAAAACAACCCATTTTTGTTCAACCAACTTTTGGGATAATTTTCTCTGTGGTCTAAAAATTTATTTAAAAGGAAAGATAACCTATTCAAAAACTTTTTATTACAATCAGCAATATGGTGCATGCCCAGATATAAGTTTTATTCAAAGTTTCCTTAAAGCTCAATAATAGGAAGGAATCAATTGAAGATTTTGATTGTTAATTGTAATTACCCTTGCGATAAGCAAGGATGTTGCAATCGAGTACTCTTAAGTAAAAACGGCAAAATTCTTTTCTTGAAAATTAAATAAAAATACTATTCTTAATTGTTGTTATTAGCTGGAGTCAGTTTTAGGAAATAAACCAGTTTTTCAGTTTTTTTGAAAAAATTACAAATTCTTTTTGGTTTTCAAATTCTTTTCGGGTCGAAAAATTTCAATTTAAAGCAGTTTTTTTTACGTTTTTTTCCTTATTTCTGTTTTTTTTTCGTTCTTTCTGTTCAGCTCATAAGGCTGCGGTTGCTTATACATCGTTTTGGAGGTATTTTTTGGAGTCATCTGGGAGCAATAATGCTTAACCATTTTTTTTTGATTTTTTTTTTGCTATTTTATATATATTCTTTGAAATAACTTTGAATTTTTTCTTACGTTTGGCTGTTTATCTGCTAGTAGCGGTTTTCATTTATTTTCCATCACAAGTGATGCAAAGCTCTGCTTTGCCTCTGTGTTCCATTTGCTTTCAATATTGGCTCTGCAAGATTTGACAATTTTTTTATATTTCTTTCCTGGTTTTGTTCCGCAACCCAGGGTCAAACATCCGCTATGTCAAACAATCGAACTTATATAATAGTTATGCAAAATTGTGAGGCTAGATTTTCGAAAATTAGACGTAGTTCAATTATCCGATTCCAATTAGCTGACTCTCGGTTTAAGGTCGCCGGTGGGCACGCTACAAACGCGTCGCGGCTTCGCGGCGATAACCGGCTCTAATCTTTTTATAGGGTCCTGCCACTATAGAGTTCGACCACTACATCATCTGTTAAACGAACGGTATAAACTGGATCTTGTCCGACTTTTTGAAAAATGTGGGAAGTTTGTCCCTGTAAAACTGTTTTTCGGATGTTTGCAACTCTTTAGGGTTTGACATATCGGATGTTTCCAGGGTACTCTCTGATATATACCAGATTTTCAAAGAAGGATCTGCTTAACAACCTCCCCTCTTGAAGAAAAAGGGTGCGATTGTTAAGTAGATTAAGTAAGTCGAAATTTTGAACACTCAGAATGCTGCAGAATTAGAATTCTCAATAAAAAGCCCTAGTGCTAATTAACTAATTTTATTTAGAGGGGTGGAGGTTCTGTAGTAGATACCATAGGAGGAGGGGTGGTTGTTTAGAAGTAAAATCCAAATTAGTTAAAAAGAGCCATGCGATCTGTTCCATGATAATTTCGGTGCAGTTGTGCAGTTCATCTGATTCGTCACTGTTGTCGCCACAGTTGTCGACATCGTTGCAGATCCAAGCTACAGGGATGCAGATGTGACTATTAGTGCACTCTCGATAATCTAAAAAAAAAACAAAGGGGGCTTTATCTTTTCCGCCCAAATTTTTAAGTAGATCCCCCCAATTGTCGTACTTGTACCAAGCGCAATAAACTAACCTTCTTGGCATGTATGAAATTCCAACTCATCAAATGCACCTGCTGCAAAGGCTTGCAGTGAGTTCTTTACATAATCATCCAATACAAGCAAGTCGCTGTATTCTTTAATTCTGCCGACCAGCGATTTGCGGACAGGATTCTCGTTGCAAACTGTTACGGCTGGAAACTCCAGTCTAGGTCTGGAAACAATTTCGATTTCAACCGAAGTAGGATAACTGAAATATTTTGCCACTATTTCATAAAGTGAGAAAGAAAATGTTATAAAAAGTCCGATGTAAATTAGGAGCCAAATAAGTTTGACGATTTTGTGATCACGTGCTATTTGCGGAACTGTGGCATCTCTTAGTTGAGCGGCCGATTCAGATAAGATTTCCTGTCTTCGTTTTTTGGAAGTTTTTGGCGGAGAATTCTCGGGTTCGAATCTGGTTTCAAGCATTTCTAAATCTGGCGACTCTTTTCCTCCGTTTGATTTTTCACGCGGCTGCATTGAAGCATAATCTTTGCTGGTGGTTGAAGACATGATTTTGTAATTGTAATTTGATGAATTAACAATAAAGTTAAGCTGTATAAGCGTGTGTTTATCAAACAATATGAAAACCTTTTGATAGAAGAATTACGTAGCAGAGGAAAAAGTTTTTGGGTATTTTGAATTTTAAAAAATGGAGGAAAGATTGGTAATTCTCAATTTTCAACTGAACTGTGGGCAATAATAAATACATAAACAGTAAATAAGCAACGGTTATGTTGTTGGAAATTTCAGAAGAACTTGAAACTATACGGAGAAAGTTGGAGAAAAACTTGAAACCTTAGATAGCTGGTATAAATAGTTTGGCCTTGGGCTGAACAAACTGCGCTGCTGTGTTGTAGCATTTTTTGACGTGTGGGCAAAATGGAAAGCAAGGTACTAGTCTCACTACAATCCGAGTTTATAGTCAAATTGTATCACAAACTATATCCAAGTTTTCTTGGTCAAATAAGTTATATTCTTCTTCGAACTGAAAACTGTTTTGGAAAATTGAGAGGGGTTGACAAGTTACCAGGGTTTGTGTTCTAAATTTGTATCTGAATATCTGAAAATGTTCTCTGGAGCCCTGAATAATGTACGCAATAGCACTTTTTCTATTCTTCAAGACGGCGTTGTTAAATGCGTTGTTAAATGCACCAGTTTTAGTAACTTTTTTTTCACCGTGAACGTATTTTGAGTTTTGAAATTGTGAATTTTGGTATTCCGCATTAGTTGGAGAATCTGTCTAATGATTTCATAAGATTCGAACTATTTTCAAGTGTTAGGAAATAGTTCGATACCCCCCCCCCCCCCCCCCCCCCCCGACGCGAGAATGGGTTGGAGAAGAGATTACTCAATTGATCCCTCAGGACTCCTATAATTCAGTTGAGACTATTTTAAAATCCCCCTTTCCAAAATGCGCGGTTGTTCACTAGATCCGTTCGTTTTTCTAGCAGATAGGCTTAACTCAAAATAGTTCAATTTATTGTTCCCACCCTTGAAAATAGGAAGGAACTTTGTAATGGGTGAGCTTTAGTTTTTTCTTTTTTTGTTTTCCTCGCAAAATCAGGTACCACAAATAATCATTGGACTGCGTTGAGTGATATATCATTTCGAAACAGTTGAGAAAGAAAATTTCCTAGAAAATTTCGATGTCGAGAAATACCGGTTTGAAATTATTTTTTCGTCAAATTTCGAGCGAGTAAAGCACGCCAGCAGGCTCATTTATGCTTAATTTAAGCCATTTACAACAACTTAATTATGCTTAAGTTTTACTCGGGTAAAGTTAGTTTTTGGCGTTTTTAACGCCATTTTGGGAATCAAAAACTTCAAAAAATCAAAACAATTGAAAAAATATTACATTTTTTCTTAATTTTTTTTTAAACAATTTTTTTGTTTTTCTAGTCCTTTAAGACTATGGTCGAAACATTGTGTTTTCTGTTCATGAACATCTGTACAAAAGGACGTATCTTTATCAGCAATTTAGCACCATCCAAAAGGTTGCTCAACAAGCTGTCCATGATTCAGGTTGCAAGCGCGCCGAAAATAAATCAATTTTCAATTTTTCATATTGTAACTACCCAACATCTTGTGACAAATTCTGAAAATCGGTTGTAAATCAATCGTTCTAGTGATGCAGCAAGGACAGAAAAAAGTGAACTTGGTCTGAAATTGGAGGGCTCGAGTTCATTTCCTTACTTTTAATTAGATAAAACGTTTGCAATTTCTAATCAACTCGGAAAAATTGCTTTGTCAATTATTTTTGAAAAAAAAACAACTAAAACCGGCTCCAATTTTTCTTGTATCAATAGAATAAAAAGATGATTGGTTTTGTGGCAACCTAGGTTAAATTTATTTTCAAATTTTTTCAAGATATGTTTTAATTTAGTTGTTGTTACCGGTCTCAATAACAACGATTGTTCGACAAAATTTTGCTATTTTGGCTGGGGTGTGGGTTATTATAAGAGTTTGCTAGTTTTTGTCTTTATTTGCAAATAGTCGTTGAGTAAATCTACAGCTGTGTCGATATTATTTGCGTTGAAACATTTTAGCAGTTCCAGTGAGATTAATAAACAATTGAAAAAAAAATCGTTTATTTTCTTTATGGCTTGGGTTTGCAGTGTGTTCTGATAAAGGATTTTTTTTACTTTTTTGCTATCAACGATTTTTATCAAAAGACTGATCAGATGACGAAATCAGATTTGACTGGGACAACTAAGCCATTGAAACCAAGTGTGCGTTTCTTGACTTACGAACAGCGTTTGATACCAATGATCTCAAACCTCTCGTGAACAAATGTTATCATGATGGTAAAAGAGGACCAGCCTATGATATTCTAGTTTCATATTCATCAGGTCGCAATTAGTTGGTATGCATCAACAAAATCTAATCGCAAAGTCCTATAGGATTCAATTTTAGGACCTCTATTTTTCAATCTGTATTTTGATGATATACCAATAAAGAAGAAAAAACACAATGTCTATTTTTATGCCGATGATACAGCTACTTGAACGCAGTCTGAAAACAAAACTTTTAAAAAAGAGACCATGAAAATGTGTTGACAAAAACAAAAAGAATTGTTGGACAAAAACAAACTACTTTTGAACTTGAGTGTAAACAAGACAGTTAGATTCTTTAATTTTGAAGACTACGACGTAATCTGCGCTTAAAATTAGTTTTTTGAAACAGAAAGCTTAAGATGTTATAAGATAGTCAGCTAACAGCCAAAAAAAACAGATAAAAATAACAATGAACTCGTTCTAGAATATGTTTGGAACAAATTCAACTTAACTTGAGATAACGTCCCACAAAAGCCTACCTGCGTACCAAAAGAATTGAAAAAATCACTGTAGCTCTGTAAATTAATTCAAAGATCAAAGCTGTATGAGGTCTCCGCTTATTCATTTAAGGATGTTAAGCTGTTTTTAAGACTTTAAGCTGACGCTAAAACTGTAATTGAACTTGCACTTAAAATGCACTCTCACTTTTGATCTTAAGCTTTGCAAGAAAAAACTAGATTAAGAGAAGTCACTTTTTTGGTTATAGGAATACAGAAAAATAGACAAAAAGACGCAATTTTTTATAGCCTAAGACAATTGACTATTAAACAGTTTTTTTGTCAAAAGTATTTGCTCAGCGTATTTTGGATTTCTTGATTCGAACGCATTTACAAGTTCGGGTTCGGGTCTAATCAAATGTTGGATAAGATTGCCATGTTCATTTCCCGAATGAAGTGCATAAATCAGCCGCTGATACTTTTTGAATTTTTATATATTATTTCCAATCTAATTTTTGATCCATATTTAACACTAATATCTCATCTCTCATCATACTGATGCACAGGGCATATTTAGGGGGGGGGGGCAATATATACTATATACTAGTTTTGAGGGGGGGAGCGCGCGCCGAAAAAACGAGATTTTTTTGTCGAAATTTTCCAAAAAGTGCCTAAAAACGCCTTTTTTGGCCCGTTTTCTCAAGATTTTGCCTGCGGCGCAGAAAGTTTAACCAAAATTGGAATAAAACAGTGCTTTGGGAGAGCCAGAAAAATCAATTTGGTCGACGACCTAAAAAAACACCGACAAAAAAAGGCCGACAAAATTTGAAAAAAAACAGTGCTTTGGGAGAGCCAGAAAAATCATTTTGGTCGACGACCTAAAAAAAAGGCCCATTTCGAGAAGTAAACATGGATAGCCGCAGAATGTTCAGACCACAGTTTTTGATCAATATTTAACCCTAATATCTCATCTCTCATCAAACTGATGGATGTCTTCATGAACATAAAGAATTCGAGAAGTAAACATGGATTGCACAAAATGTTCCGACCACAGTTTTAGAAAAATACAAAAACATTTTTTTTTCAAAATAGTTTTTTTTCCGCATGGTGTGAAAAAACAAAGATCTGAACGAAAAAAAAGAACCTAGGCATATTTGACAGTCATAGTAAAAAAAAGGCCATCCGAAAAACAGTTCTTGAATAAAATTGACTCAGAATAATGAAAAAAAAATGTAAAAATTTTTTTAAAAAACTTTTAAAAAAATTTCAATTTTTTGCAAAAATTTTTGGAATTTTAACCTTTGCTTTGAGGAAAAAAAGAAAAAAAAAATTAAATACACCCGATACAAAGTTTCTCCCCATTTTTCAAATGGTCGAAACAAGGATAAATAGCTACACAAAATGTTCAGACCTCAACTATTGAAATACAGAAGTTCAAAATTGAAGTTTTTTAACAATAAAACTATAAATATATTTTTTTTAAGAGTAAAGGGCGGATAAACTCAGTAAAAACCTGCAAATATGAATAATAGTTGTTCATGAAATGAAAAAAAATCTGAAGTATTCTTCTTAAAGGTGTTGTAGGGAAGGCTTTATTATGATACCACAATTGATTCCATGCGAGTTTACTTTGAAATAGTCAAAATAGGTCACAAAAGAAAACACAAATTCACTAAAGTTACTTCACACATCGAAAAATTATCGGAACAAAAACACAAGATTTTGATTTATCATGGAATTGTAAACAATCATTACGTCTTTTTTTCGAATGTCGGAATAACAAAACCTCGTTATAAAACACCTAAAAAATTAAGCTGTGTGGTTGTGAGTTTAAAGGCAAAACTAGGTTTTTTTGGTCAATTTTTTTGTTTAAAAATTCATTTATCATTATAGATGAGGGAAGCTTTCATGATCTACTCATTTCGAGAAACAAAAAATATTGCTCGTATTGCGCATCACTGAGAAAACCACTTTTCTAAAGTTTTTTGAAATTGTTCAACATATGACTGAAAGGCTTTCAATATGATATTTCACTCGATGCAACCCGATGATTAAATTTAATAGAAAGAATACAAAGTTTTGCCTGGAAAAAAAGAAAAACATTAATCACTCCCGAATAAAAATTTGCTCTTCAATTTTTCTACCGGTCAAAACAGCAAGGAAAACGAGCTGCTGTGCAAGTGACTTCAACGATTAAATAAAGAAGTTCAAAATTGTTTTTGTTTATGTTTTTGCAATTAATTTATCATTACAGGGCGGCTTAATTGATTAAACATTTGCAAAAATTGAATGTACTACTGGCAAAATTGTTGAAAAAAAATTTGAAACTGTCATTTCTATGTATCGGTTCTATTTTCAAAGAAACTTGGGCTCCTATCGCTAGTGAAGGCTTTTTTATGATACCACAATTGATTCCATGTATTTTTTGAGGTAGCCAAAATGCGTCAGAAAACAAAACACAATTTTCAACATTTTTACTTCCCACACCGAAAAATGATCGGAACAAAATCACAAGATTGAAACTAATCCTGAGCATTAAACGATTATTCCGTATTCTTCGAATGTCGGAACAACAAAACATCTTTATATACACCTAAATAAATAAACTGTGAGGTTGTGAATTGAGAAGTAAAACTAAATAAAACAAGGACAGCCGGTTACTGAGCAAGTAACCCAGAATGTTACGACCAAAGACTTCAAAAAAAAAAACATTCGATTTAGTTTCGTATTTTCTGCGTGGTGTAATAAACAGATGTGAACAGAAACAAAAGATTTTAACCAAATAAGACATGGTAAAAAAGGCCAATTGAAAAAAGATTTGAAGAAAAAAAATATACTGGAAAAAATATTACAAATTTCGAAAACTTTTTGAAATTTTTTATGCAGAACTTTTTTGTAACTTCGAATTTTTTATTCTCAAAATGGCGCTTGAAATAAAAAAATAACTTAAATTGAATGAAATTAAATTTTCCAGGCTTAAATTGATC